ATGGTGGTGTCCTCCATGCCTGACAGTCTGGGACTGATGTCTCTCATCTGTAGCATGAAGGTGGCTTTCCTGGTGGCCCTCTGCTGCAGTGCTGCATGAAGCTGAATATCAACAGACCCCCAAAGCCTCGTTAATAGCCCTCTCAATAAAACATTCAGCTTTTAGAAAGGAAGCAACGTTCCTGTTGTAAAAAAAGTAATCCGTAAAGTCTGAAGGAGCTCTCACTGATGAGGTTTGACTGAATATGTCAAAAACCGGCAGCTTTTAATGCAGAGTCAGGTTAAAAAATACCTTTGTGCACATAACACTGCATTTCTCAAGATGGCATTTTTCAAAATTATGAGAAGCCAATCCCAAAAGGTAAGAGTGAGAAAAACTCTATTGTCATTTTAGAGAAAAACGTGTACATGTATCGTTCTATGCAAGTGCTCTGTGAAAGGTCACATTTGAAATACACGTTAGGATGTTTCCAATACACATCACAAATATAAGTGATTCTCCCACAGACGCAATACAATGGAACGATAAGTTATTTGCATATGAGCAAAAGTGAGCCCATAAATAAGCCGTGGCATGAGATTTGAAGTTCAATTGAGTGTTGAAAAGCAAAAATTCATGTGTCAAATGTAAGAGTTGTTAAATTTTTAGTTCACATGTAACCAGTACTAAATATAAAAGCCAGACATTATTAACCATATGCTGCCAGGTCTAAATTGAAGTTGCATGATGAATTCCCAGGGGATTTTCATGATTTTTCAAAATTCTTCAAAAATGCATAACTTCATTTACTGGACGTTTACACCCACACGAATGACTGTCTGGTGGCTACTCTAATCTGACAGGCAACCTCCATTGACGTCTGGCCTGCCACCCAGTAAAGAGAGCCCAGAATTGTGCGGTGTTGCGTAATTTCCTTTGTTCCAGAAATTGGCCCAGTGCATTGCTGAATGGCAGTGGTGTCTTTACAAATGTGGCCAGATTAGTGTGCAGCGGTATTGTATTGCTCATCGCTGGGGTATTGGAGCGCTTTTGTCCCCGACTGTAATCCACTCGCACTGAATTCCACAAATAGTGGTATGCAGTTTCAAAACAATGACGAATTACCTCCGCTATTGACAACTGAAAAAATGTTGGCAATTCCCAGCAGCTCGGTCCTTTGTTCCGAGTACGGTCTTTTATTTCAAGGACCAGCTCCTTTGTCTGATTTCGGGCACCCCTGGCTTTGCGTATAAATCCAAGGTCTCCAGTACCAGGATCCCTGGCACAAAGTGGTTAATAATCTATCATTTCAGATGTGTA